TTGTTAATTATATTCATAACCTCCTCTTGAGCTAGACCAGGTTTAGATTCCATTGATTTAGATAAATTATTTTTAGTAGAGCTGGCTTTGTTAAAATCTTCATTGAATAATAGGATGCTCATACCATCTATTACAATTTTAGCATGGCGAACATGGGTTTTGGGAGAATATCAAAGTTATTTTTGCTTCACATATCCATAACCAATCTTACCCCAACACCAGATCAAATGATAGATTTTTGTAAATTTAAAAGTCTATTAGTTCAGTATTACCTAAACTTTGCCACTTTCTTTTAATACAAAACTGTAAATCTAAGCCTTTTATTTCTTCACCTATCAGAACATCACCAACTATACCTTCTAATCCGTAATCAGATTCAAGCTTATCGAATAAGTGTTTGCTAATAGTATTATATTTAGATATTGTATCAATTAATGCTTTTACTGAGATTTTTCCTTCTACAAGTGTATTAATGAACATGTTAAATAAGTTTAATAATATATATATTATAATCAAAAAATAATTATAATTTATTCGAGGGTGCGGCAACCTAGTGAAGTGGTGGGGTTGCTGCATCCCCAAGCAGCAAGTCTAGAGTTCGAATCTCACGGATGACGATTTTGAAAATACTAGATCTGTATCGGTTAACGTTAAGATTATTGGTTGGATCTAGATATCTGTAATCTTGGTCACACTATCTCGAATGAGAGCTTCGGCGCAATAAATCCAGGAAACCGGAATTACCGAAAACCCATTTGGCAAGCCTCGAGTAGGGAGGTAGTATGATCTTTGATGGTGCTACAGGAAGACTGAATTTGGAATTGGAGACCGAGACTGGAGAACCGAGCGACCAGGTCCTTAAGTGGGGGAACACACCAGCCGAACTGCCAGGTCGCCAACCGGAGGAAAAGGACATATGCTCTGGAAGTATGGACCAAGGAGAGGGAGACCGTAAGGCACCTAAAGCCTAGGCAAACCGACCCTTCCGGGTTGCTGGCTGGAAGTAAGAGAGAGACTGGTAAAGAATCCAAGGAAGAAAGAAAGTCCGAATGTGGGTACTGGGGTTGTGTGAATCTTACAAGGGTGAGGAGTACGTAATGGGCGCCTAGTTAGGAAGGTTGGTGCTTGAGAAACGTCCGTAGAACAGCAGCACCCCAAAAGGTAGCGTGAAATACGAATATGGAACAGCAGGTCAATATGTACTAATTAGGAAGAAATTACAGGAACAAGCACGTGAATACATGTGTGGGACATGTACCGCTATGTTAGGTTTACCTCGAGGATAGTTAAGTGTCCTAAGGTAGGG